TTTTTTTTTTTCCCTAAAGATTCAGCTGATACTGATGATTTGAGAGCTTCAACTTCTGAGTGTTGTACTTTTTAAACTATTAAAGCTGACTACATCAGAGTAGTAATTAGTAAATTATCTCTTAATAGTTTGAAGGGCATGCAAATAAACTGCTTATATCCATAGCCAGTGTAAAAATTTTGCCATGTAAAGTAACGTAGCCTCTTGGTTGCTCTTTTCCATCATCCAGTATTATTTTCTTAATAGCATTTATCACTACTGGAAATCAGTGCAGTTGCCAAGGATTTTATCATCCTGAGGCAAGACAGTGGCCTGAGAATTCCTACCCTGATGTGGGTGTCCTGGCCGACTCCTGGCCTTGCTCCCATCCTCTGGGCTGTCTCTCGAATGTGCGTCCCACTCTTCTCAGGGCCTTTCCTTGGAGAACTTCCCCCCCAGAATGTCTGGCAGCTGCTGCTCCATGTCTGTCTTGTCTGTGCTGAGGGAAATCTGCAGGTTCCTGTGTCTCCCCAGCCTGTTTTCTTTTTCCCTCTGACAGTGGTGCCCTTCTCACAGCAGCATATGTGCTCATTACGGCTTTTCCACTAGAATGCAGTTTCCTGGGCTGGGACCTGGATGTGTTCCTTGTGGTACCCCTGGTGTCAGGACAATGATTGGGCGGATAGTGGGCGCTTATTTCTGAATGCTGGGTGGATGGAGTTGTGGGCTGACCTAGTGGCTGAAGAAATAGGCAGATGTTGCCCCCACTTGGTCTGGCACTCTGCATGGTGTGAGTATGTGCTGAGGGCATCCGTCTAGCTTTGACTTGTGAAGACTTTGGCAAAGTATAAATTTTACTAAAGTTCACTATTTTACTAAATTAGTATTTTCTTTTTCTTGGAAATTACCTTATATATTTTAATGCTTGACCTTTTTATCCAGCCAATTCTCACCTTTCTAACTTTGAATACTTTTTATTGAGTGACTTCTCCAGCATCTGCTCTCTCTGCAATCACTTAATCATTAAAAGGAGAGCCAAAGATATTCTAGATGACTTCTGCCTTTTAGGGCCAAGCATGTGCAGCTTCTAACTTAGCTCAGTGCCTCGCCCCTGGTAGGTACTTAACACTTGTTTGCTGCTACTGTCAGGCTTTTTGTTGCTTTTACCAAAGTCATTACCCTCCAACCCCCAGTAGTGTGCTTACCCTGCCAGAGAAGCTGTCTCAGAGGGGAGGGTTGTTTACTTTTTGCCATCAGGTCTTTCCATCTTAGTGTTTTTTTGTGTTTCTGTCTGGGGTACCTGTTCTTTTCTTTATTTTTATTTTTTAGTAGGGACAGAGTCTCACTTTATCACCCTCAGTAGAGTGCCATGGCGTCACACAGCTCACAGCAACCTCCAACTCTTGGGCTTAGGCGATGCTCGTGTCTCAGCCTCCCGAGTACCTGGGACTACAGACGCCTGCCACAACGCCTGACTTTTTTTGTTGCAGTTCAGCTGGGGCTAGGTTTGAACTCACCACCCTCGGTATACACCCATTCTTTTCTAAGTTGTCTTTTCCTGTATTTGTGCTTCCCTTCAAGAGGTGTGGGACATTCAGAGGCTGAGCACAGTACTTGGACATGGAGCTACTGGAGCTGCGTAGGAGCAGCTGGCCTAACTGATCCTTTTAAAAATTTCCTCATCTAGTTACTCTAGTTCAAGCATTAAGAGATTTCATTTCATGAAATTTTACCATTATAAACTAAGGAGAGTCCTAAGAAATTTTGAATGATTGTTTTTAATGCATAGAAGCTAGAGAGCAAAAAACTGCCTTGTCTACTATTCTTTTTTTTAATATTCATACATTTTATGAAAATTAAATGTGTATTTTTAAAAGTTAAAAATGTTAGAAGTTCTTCTTTGGAACAAATCTGATACATAGAAAATAGGGATTTAAATAAATTTGAGACAGCCGTTTTGCTTTGCAAAACCTTTGGTGTTAGAATTCTTATATGAACAGCAGCTATCTCTCTTTTAAATGCCGTTTGACGACTGGCTTGGAGCACAGCTCTTTATGCAGAACTACTCCTTTAGCCAAAAGAAATAACGGCAGGGCACTGAGCCTCTCTCTGTTGGTCACTGACTAGGGACAAGAGCTCTCCTGGAGAGCTTTCAGGGTGCTGTTCAGCATGGCAGAGCCTTTGTGCACCCTCACAGCACCTGCCTGCCCTGAGTGCTTGTGTTGTGACCTTCATTCTGAGGGTGGGGTCTTGAGATTGTAGAATGTGTCTACAATTTTGAAACCATTATGGACAAGTTAGAGTAGGTATAAATATTTGTAATTTTATACCTACCAAGATTACCCTACTATTAGACTTTGAAATGTGTTTTTAACCCACCAGCTCTGTTAACAGTTAGCTATTTGACTTTGCCCATGAAAGGTTGGATTATGTAGATTCTGAGATTCTTTTCAGCTTTGTAATAGTTAGTGAATTTTTGTGTGCATCTTTTCAGCTTTGCCTTAATTAAAAGCAGATAAAGACTATTTGAAAAATATTAATTGTAATTTAAGTGTATTAAAATATTTGAAAAATTATGTAAGATATGGTATCTATCTATATTGAAGATTATACCTCGGGGCATTGCTTGTTGCATGTTTGTGTGTCTTTAATTTGAGTAATGAAATTAAGACTGTCAAAGTAACACTGCATTGTTTATAATGGTGTAAGTCTTGTGAGCCCGGGTTAGTGTTAATGTTCCTTCTTTTCTTGTTTTGAAGGGTTCTATGCCTTTATCCTGACATCTGCGATCGTTGGAACATCTCTCTTCTGGGGTGTGGAGCTTTCTTATGTGTACAGTCATTTTCTTCAGTTTGCACTTGCAGCCACCATATTTTCTGTGGTCTTGAGTGTTTATCTCTACGTTCGCTCTTTGAAGGCTCCCAGGAGTGAACTGTCACCGGCCAGCTCTGGTGAGCAGTGGTAAATTGCACCTTGGATAAATACATCTCAGAGCACTCCAGCAGCCATTTCTAGCCTTGAGTAGATTGCTGTTTTTCTAATTTCCTTTTATGGGAAATGGAAGAGAAATAAGAATAGATAAAAAGATTAAGAAAAAAGTTAAAGAAAACGAGTTTAAAGGAAGAAAATAGTTTTGATTTTTCCTTTATACTTATTCATTTCTCTTCCTCTGTTAGTCACTTGATTACTTTACAGGCATCACAATTTATGACAGATACTTTTTTTTTGTCCAAAATAGTAAACACCCTTAAAAAAACAAAAAATCACAGAGGTTAAACTATTTAAACATTAAAAAAAACAAAGGTTACTGGCCAGGTGCAGTGGCTCTTGCCTGTAATCTTAGCACTTTGAGAGTCTGAGGTGGGAAGACCACAGAGGCCAGGAGTTAGAGACCACTCTGGGTAATACAGATAGATTCCATCTCTACAGACAATTTAAAACTATCTGGGAATGGTGGCTCATGCCTGCAATGTCAGCACTCTGGGCGGCTGAGATGGATGGATTGCCTAAGTTCATGAGTTTAAGACCAGCCTGAGCAAAGTTGTGGCAGGTGTTGTGGCGGGTGCCTATAATCCAAGCCACTTGGGAGGCTGAGGCAAGAGGATTGCCGAAGCCCAAGAGTTTGAGGGCATTCAGTCTCAAGGTGACTGAGATTCTGTCTCAAAAAAAAAAGGTTAAAAAGACTATGAATGTAAAATTAAAAAAGACTTCAGTTCCCTTAAAATTGAGGGAATCTAGTACTCTGGGCCCCAAAGGGTTTAGTAGCTGCCTTCAGCTGGGGTGGGCATCCCTGGGCTCCTTTGGTCTGTCCTGTTCCCTCGCTGCTCATCCATCAGGACTGTCCTCAGGCTCTTGTAGGCCACAGACCAGTTTTAAGGCCTTGTGAGTGGGTTTGGAACACTAGGTAAAAACTTTTCTCTCCTTAGGAAATGCTGTCTATGATTTCTTCATTGGTCATGAATTAAATCCTCGAATTGGTACTTTTGATCTCAAATACTTCTGTGAATTACGTCCTGGATTGATTGGATGGGTATGTCTTTTTTTTTTTCTAATTTCAATTCAGTAGTTCAAATTATTCTCTAGAAGGAAATGTAGACAATTTAAAAATCTGTCTACTAAATACAAAATATTTTCTTGCTGTAAATATTTTCCAGAGGTTTCAGATACCCTGTTATAGGTTCTAAAAAATTAAAGAGTTTTTCCTTGTTTTTTTTTTTTTATGTAGAGACAGAGTCTTACTTTATTGCCCTTGGTAGAGTGCCATGGTGTCACACAACTCACAGCAACCTCCAACTCCTGGGCTTAGGTGACTCTCTTGCCTCAGCTTCCCGAGTAGCTGGGACTACAGGTGCTAGCCACAATGCCCGGCTATTTTTTTGTTGTTGTTGCAGTTTGGCCTGGGCCAGGTTTGAACCCACTATCCTTGGTATATGGGGCCGGTGCCCTGCCTACTGAGCCACAGGCACCGCCTGAGTTTTTCCTTGTTTTATTTTTATTATATCACTTTATTTTTATGTAGGAAAGTGATAGTGTGGATAAATTAAGAAAAAATGTATTTTCTTTTCCTTTTCAAAAATTTTTACCTAATTTTAGACTTGCAGGAGAGTTGTAAAAATAGAGCAAAGAGTTAATTCCCTTATATCCTTCATCCTACTTTATTCAGTGTTGACATCTGATCATGTAATCATAGTATAATGATCAAGAAGTTCACGTTGCTACATTGTTATTAACCAAATCAAAGATTCAGTTTTACCAATTTTTCTTTCTTCCTTTTTTTTTTTTTTTTTT